AAAGCAGTATAACTAGCATTAAGCACAGCTGAAATTTTGTAATGACCAAACCTCAGCTCATCCAAATCCCCAATAGCATTAACTCCCTAGAATTGGGCTGTAAATTTGATTAGCCTTACAACAGACATGAGACACAAATGTTCTTCCTTATACAGTCATATTAAGTGGCTGCAAAAGAAGATGACAAGACATTGTAGAGCAGCGCATCCAACCTGTTTAAGCTAGGCAGGAGCTCCAGCTCGCCCAGTTTTCAAAACTACATTTAAATACAGGGTAATTTCATGAATTCTGATGTAACATGAAGATTACATATGGTGAGGTGACAGGGGATTTAGCAGCTACAGTCTTCCTATAAATCATCCGGAAGCTTTTCTTCATACTTTAGGTCTCTTGATTAACATTTTCCATGTAAGCTACATCGCTGAACCTTAGCTTCTGTCCATGCTTGTTTAATTTGGTGCTTTTTTAATATATTTTCATTACTCTTGCACTGTTCTTTAACATGAAATTTGATGCTGTAACGCCTGGTGTCCTCCAATTTTGCATGGAACTAATCCAAGTATTGGATAAAAATTTTTCTTTAAACAAGCTAAAGGTTATTGAGGCATCCTAGGGCGGATTTCTAGAAGTTAGAGTCAGGGACTAGAAGGAACAGTAAATTATGAGACCTTAAAGTTTTCCAGGTCCACAGAGTTGCAACAGCTTCTCTGGTGAACTGACGGTGTGCGGCACGGCACGACTCCCCGCGCTCCCCACGCGTGGCTATTGCAGCCAGCACCACCCGCAATGCTGCTCCCAGGTTTCGGTGCTGCTGAGTGCGGCACACGATCGCTCTGCCTCATCCCAGCTTTTCCAGCCGCTGGCGCCCTGAGGGATGGGGTACCCGTGGCTCTCAAGCCAGGCACCATGCATCTGGTGACCCGAGAGCTCCCAGAGTATGCAACTCCTGGCAGGCCAGGAGTTGCAAAGTTTTGCTGTTATTGTTATTAATTTATTGTGGTTTTATTTTCATTCCTTTCACTAGGTTGTTCTGATAACACATTTCTGGCATAGCTTTATATTCTGATCCCCTGGTTTTCATTGTCGTTTGGACACAGTCCCATTTGGAGTGAATTTCTGAAGTGAACCCTGATTCACTGATGAATCACACTACTTCTAAAACAAAAATAAAAGAAAAAGCTAGAGCGGTTTACTAGTTATGGAAACAAATTTCTAACATCAAGAATAAAACCACAGATATATACAAATGGAAAATAAGAAACAGTTTTATGGTAACGAGAAATGGAAACATGGGAAAAGTACCGTTATGAATTTTGAGATCCAGTATTCCTTTTTATCTCTTAATTAGACAGTTTACACAGCAGTTGTTTTATAAATATATATATTTGGCCCTACTAATGGAAATTTCACAATACTCCTCATACAGTGCAGCCCGGCTGAGAACCAGGTGGTGCTCAGCCATGTGCTACTTAGTTTAGGGGGTAAATGGGAACTATTGTTTCTTCCTCACATTTGGTATTTTGTAGGACTTGGACACTATAACCAAGGCTCATGCATGTTGGGAATTAAATCTTTTAATTGTTTTAATTAAGGTGCTTCAATGTATCTTGTAATCTCCATTTTGTGGCCCATCCCCATGAACTGCATAGCAGTGGTGACTCAAGACTCATTAAGCGTTGAGAGATCTGTCTCCTTGGGCCTGCTGTCCGGCTCCCTCCTCCACCAGGGACAATATGGCTTGGGTTTGAAGCTGCCCATGCAGGTGCAGAAAGAGACCGTATGCATTTCTGGAGTTCACACACCATCCTTATGTCCTCCGGCACAAATACAGTGTGCTGCATCGAATTGGCCAGTGTGCCACTGGTTGGGTGGCTCTGATCTGAAGTTAAAACTTCCCTCCTCACCAGCTGTCCCGACTTCCCAAACAAAGCAGTTGTGCCTCCTGATGGTTTTACAGCTTCACAGGAACTGCTAAAATAAGCCAGCTCTTCAAATGCCTGTTGAAGAGTCCTTATTAAAGTCCTCATAAATAACGACATACAATAACAACACACCTCCAGACCCTCTGACAGGGATGTGGAATAGCTGGGCCTCTCTGGCAATAACTGTTTTTCTGTTTCTTCAGTTTGGAGTCTCAAACAAGCAAGTGGCTTTGCCAAACTGTGGGTTTGTTCTTTTATTCTATATTGTTATAACCAATAAAATGTATAGCCAAACTGCCAAATTGCAAAGAACAACGTTATTACTGTTATTACTGAGAGCACCTTTTAGTAGCGTCCACTCGGCAGCTGGCTGTGGGTGCCACTGGTCCTGCTCATGCTACGGCAGGCAAGGACCTCTCTTTGCTTCAGCAGTCCTGCTTCACACAGGCAGACACTGATGGAGGGAGGCACTGACTTGAGGGAAGCACCCTGAGATGATAGTCGATTCACAGGTCACTCTCTCGGTGGGAATTTATACACCTACAACAAAAACTATGTAGACCTCAGACATCTTGCAGGCCGTCACCTCCACTCTTTCCCCAACTGCCAAACAAAACACTGCAAAGACAAAGGCTTGAGCATATGGATAAATAAACAGCCCAGTTCCCTACATAACTGGACTTCAACAGATTTCCCCACTTTCTTCTCAAGAACTCCTCTCACTGATTCCCCCACCCCATGTAGTAGAAAGTAGACACCCTCCCATGCTGGGAGGAGGTGAGAGGAAGAGTCTGTACCTTCCAAATCCTTCCAAAGATGTATGTTGTTGAAATACTTCCTTGCTCCCAAAAGGAGATAGAGATGGAGACCACACTAGGAAACCAAACATTGTAATCTGTCATTCAGGATTGGGGATGATGATATGATCCTCAGTACCCTTTCAGTATATCAAGGAAATTGATTTATAGCTCTCAATGTGAAAGACATGCTTTCACAGAAGCGTTCGTCCTGTACATAAAAGACTTTCAGATTGGAACTGGGTAAACCTTTACTACAGCGTATCACTTTTCACTGACTCACAGAAGGTTTTATAAAGGTCTTAGTGGCAGCACTTTAAATACGCATTAAACGTCATTAAGCACTTACCGCGTTCCAGATGATAATGCCATGATATTCTTGCAACCCGTCACAGCCAGATGCCTCAGAGGCCAAACCCCACCTTTCCCAACAGCATGAAAACTGGCACGTTCATCGAATTTTGCTCCAAGGATTCCTTTCAAGTTCGACCCTTAGTATCCATTTCTCCATGGGTCTGTGAAAGTGTTTCTTCACACAGTGGTCCAAGGAGGGTGTGGAAATTCACAGCAGTGCTGTCAGACTCATCCCCAAACTACGTTACATTATGACAAGGTTTTCCTGTGGCTACTCCCTAAATTTTTTGCCGAGAGAAATTCTGCCCTTTCCCATTGCCCAAGTTCCCCATTTACCCTGCAGTGCTTCTCAAACCTCATTCCAGCCATGAACAACTTTGCACTCCTTAAATACCCATAGACTGTTAGCCTCCTATTTGCACAGAACAAAATCTTTCCGGTAATCCCCTATATAGTTCTTCTCCTTGGCTGAGGAGTTAAAGGTGATATACTTTCTAGTCTGAAACTTTTAAAATGGATCTTAGATGAGATATGTTTCTTTGACACTCATGCATGTAAAAATAGCAAAGCCTAGGTCTCGGTGACCTCCTCTGGATATATTATGATATTAAAGGTAAGCTTATGCAGTAAGTGTTTGCAGGGCTGAGACTACAGGGACTTAGTACACCACAGTCACAGTGATAACTTGCCTTACTAATTTAGTAGGTGCAAACTTAAGATTCAAATCATGGGCTCTTCCTGAAAGTAGCAGTAAGCCAATCAATTGATTTTTGGCTAAACCAACATGCTTCTGCTAACATAAACTCTTACTGTCAACAAACAAACAAAAAAGCTCAGATTTACTCTGCTTTGTGGAATGCCTGACATCTACTCCCAGGAATTTCAGTGGTTAATAATACAAACGTCACACTCGGATTAGGACTGTACTGGGGAAGCCGAGATTCATATTGTTCAATGGCACCATCTTCAGTCAACTACAAAGCTGATTATTAACTGGCTTTAATAAGAAGTCATGTTCATCTGTCCTAAGTCAGGAAAGAACATGGTATCGGTGCTTCTGAACTTGCACGGTGTGGTGGTACAATCTCAGGAAATTTACTGTTGCAGGAGAAATATCAAGAGTATGGGTCCCCTCAGAAAAGGGAAAATCTCTATACATTCTGTCTGCTTTAAACTGAGAGGAGAAAAATGGTGATGACGTACAGTCACTTCTGGGAAAGTCTTGTTTTGGTGTATTTTTCTTAAAGGGCTGATTGTGTTTAATTTTTTGTGAAGTAATTTGTAGATACAGATTAATGTAAAAATACTTTTTCAGGTTGTTGTCTCTTTTTGGATATACAGAAATAGCTTGAGAAGATGAAATCATGCAGCATTCTGGCCATATAAATGCTCAGAAAGATCCCGTAAATTAAATACCAATTCCCAAAGTTGAATTGACTTTTTCTGCTTTGAAAATAGTACTTACTGCCCTAATTCCTGATATTTCTTTATGCTTCAAAACTAAAAGTATTCAAAAAACCATTTAACCTGATAATAGAATTAGAGCCCATCGTCTTCTTAGGTGATAGTATAGATATTTGTGGGAGTCTAATACCATAAATAAATGATGCAGTATGTTTATTCTTATCACCTGAAAGCGACTTTTAGCTCAAAATAAAATTATTGGAACATTGGTTTGTGAAGCAGAATTTTAGAAAATGGTTTTAGTTATATGTTTACCAGAAATTTCTATCTAATTGCCAGGTAACTCCTCCCCGTCTTCTTCCTTTCTTCCTGTATGGATGCGTGCTTTCAAAGTGGGACTCTATATGTAGGCACCTTGTTCTTACAGTTAAACCTAAAAGGACTGAATGAATCTGGACCTAAGAATAGCTTTTTCATCCTTCCGAGGCTGACGAGTATTTCACGGTTTGTGTTTCCTTTTCAGCTGACCCCCTGGTTGGAAGTATTGCCACTCAGTATATGACTAACAGAGCAGAGCACGACAGAATGGCCAGACAGTGGACCAAGCGATATGCCACATAGGAACCTACTCTAGGATTTGCTGGACCTGTGCAAGCACATTCACTAAGTGCATCAATAGCCCTTCCCTTCATTCTTATTTTTTATTAAATTTTGAACCATTTTGTGACAAAAGGTTGTCCTTACTTTCTTTTTGGTTCTATTTTTATTTTTATTTGTTTTGGGGTTTTTTGTTCTGTTAACTTGAAAGTTGTTTCCCTCAAATGTAGACAGGGAATTTTGGTTATCAGTGCAAAGAATGTTGGATCTGTAATAGTATAGAGCTTTGTCACAAAGCTTTGTATTAATGTGTGGGGTTTTTTTCTTTCATGTGGTTTTTGGGAAAACAAACAAATTCAGAATTATATCTCGTTTCTACTTAAATGTAGTGTTTAGGGTTATTTTTTTGTACTGAAGTCTTTAATGGTGGGTGCATGCTACTGGGAACAAGTTTTGTATAAAAGCTTAAAATCAAGAATCACTGTGCATTACTAAGACTGTGTTTATCACTAGCCTTCTGTTTCCCACACAAAAGGCTATTGCGTTGAACAAATTAATATGTATTTTGATTTACTTAAAAAAAAAAAAAGTGCTTGTAAATTTCTTAGGGACCTGCCACTTTTGACTGTGGATCAGTTGATGTACACTTGTATTATTAAAGCACTCAATAAAACACTGTGGCTGATAAATGCACTTCTTGCAAGACGGTGCTTTTGCGTTTGTGCAGTATAGGCTGCGTAGTCCTGACATAATACAACTGCAGGTTAAGCAACTATTTTAGACCTAAACTATTCATTTCTTCACAACAATGCCTTTCTTAACTTAGAATTCTTCATTGTGTGTATCTTTCATATACAAACATCTTCCAAATTTGAAGGCCTTTCTTTCGCATGCCGGTGCTCAGCTCAGCTATTCTGAAGGCTCTTGCTGCATCTTTTATACTACGGCTTCACTATATCCATCTTGTTACATTTAAAATAGTTAGCTATAAAAATAGCCTTGCAGCGAAAGCAGAATATTGATGATGATTTTATACAGCAGGCCTCATTTTGCCTTTCTCCAAGCTCTTTAATTGTAAAAGCAACTGTTATTTAAAAAAATAAGGTTTTCGATGGGAAAATTGAGCCCATTGCACCAATCATTCCCAGCACGTTCAATGGCAAGGGTATTTCTATTCAGATTTGACCTTCAGGCTAATTTTAGATACGCAGCCATAGAAGGAAAACTTCTACTTGGCTAAGGAAATGTGTGGGTGTTGTGATTTAGAAAATATACACTGTGATGCTGATATCTAAATGTTCTTTGTGTTGCAAGGCATATTGGAAAATCCCTGTCTCATAATTAAACGTATACGGTGCTTGCCTGCCCTCTCCCCTCTCTCATTGCCTGTTATGTTTAAAGAAGATCCTATCTTAAAGAAGATACATTACAATAGGGACAGTATAAAGATTGGGGAGGCCCGATCCCATTACACTCCAACCCAATCCAACCGTCCTGAATACTAAAGCAGTCAAGGTGACACCACAGGGCCTCTACGCCAATCACTGCGCCGCTCAGCATTTCCAGGCTGATCTGTTTTTCTCTCAGCCATTTGCTAATAACTGAACAGACGTACAGCTTGAATCTACTGGTGAGTTGTCCTCTGTGTGAAGAGAAGCTGAACGGTGACTTTGTTGTAGGTAGTATATAACTACCACCCTAAGAACCATGGGGATCTCAAAGAAATAATCAGTCTCTTTTGATCAAAGCAAACGGAGAGTCTTCTGGTGTCTGTAGAAGCCAACTGTTTACAAGCCCAGCCATACAACATTTTGAGGCCAACAGATCCTAAATACAGATGTGAAAGAACAGTAACAGTTCAAAAATAAACCAAAACAAAACCCAAAAACCAGAGTTCTCTGAGCCAGAACACCTTCTTAGGACAACTGTTATATGTGCTTCCCTTGGAAGCTGCTTCCACCATACGACTTGCCGCAAAGTACTTCCACGTCTGAAGGGAACCTTCCTGCTGTAAAAATACAACAAAGGGGTAAAAGGATTAAAAAGAACAACTGCATCTTGCCCAGTACAGTAACTGCATTACTTCTCCTCTTATCCCATCTGCTGAAGAGATTCCTGCCATAAAAGACCTGTATCCCCCGAGACAGCAATTAATGGGCAATTTCAGATTTCTTCTGAATTACTTTAAGCGTCTGCCACTCTGCAGCCTTTATTTACACTCAGCTGAGCAGAATGCAGTAATTTCCCAGGTACATTTTAAACCTGCTTGAAAAAGAAGTCTTTAATTCCTACTATCATCTTTTTTTTTTTTTTTCCAAAATATAATGAAGACATAAACAGAAGAGCCTATTGTATCTCTAATGAAGACGTAACTGAAAGACAGCTGAGATACCTTGGAGGGGGAACCACAGAATTCTTAATAAACGTCTATTCTCAGTTCATCAGCTCTCGCTTGCCTTCCTTACTGATGAAAAGCTGCACAGTTTGAATTTGCAGGTGAGTTGCCCTCTGTGTGAAGCAGAACAGTGGCTTTGTCCTAGATAATATAAAACTACTGCCTTAAGAACCACGGGGATCTCAAAGAAATAATCAGAAAGGATCAACCCACGTTGATTAAAGCAGATGCGGAGTCTTCTGGCATCTGCAGGAGCCAAATGTTTGCAAGTCTGGCCATAAAACATTCTCCTCTATTTGCAAATCTGCTCTGTTTGCCTCCCAAGTAATTCTTTTTCTTCATCTGCTAAACCTGGGAAATATGAAGCGTTATTTGAAACCTGCTGTTGTCGCTGAGGAGAAATGATCCATCCCCAACAGAATTCAGTCTGCCAGCAGAGCCCCACTGAACAATAATGTATTGGCATAGTATCTTTTTCTCTTTTTCTTTTTCCTACATCTAGAAAAATACTGCACGTTATTCTGTCCCACTTTTGCTCTTCAGATCCTCTGCAAATTTAGCTGATTCCTGCTTCCTCATTTATGCCAAATCATCTTTCTAACTTCTGCTAGATGGTGAAGTCCACATGCTACTCTCCTACAACTGGGTATGAAGATCATTCAAATTACTCACGCGTAGTAAAATGTATTCGATAGCATACAGTTGTCCTAAAACAGCATATAAAGGCCATCACTTCAGCAAATCTCGGTATTCTCTCAGGGACACACAAATGCTAAAACTGGGTTTCGTTCTTTAAAGACATCTCACAACTTTTCTGAATTCAACTGCAATATCAAGTAAACAATATTTAATTTCCAGTAACCCCAGCTAAATGTCAGTGTCCCATACCCTTTGGGTTCAACTCAGATGAAGCAGAAGTCAGGGAACTCTCCAAACTGTGTGGCCTTCACATCTCCCTGTCCAACCAGCTGATTTCCCTCTCCAGAAAATTACAGAGCAACATAGCTTAAATTAAGGTACCCAAAAAATCCTGTATTTCCAGAGACAGCATTTCCAGACTGCTCCAGGAGTGAGTTTTAGCAGCTCATAACCCTTTTGATTACATGCATTGTGGGTGATTGCAGCCAAACAGTTAATATCCATTAAAACCAGCTGCTGTGACATGAATAAGGCAGGAATAATTCCTCTTCAAAGATCTTTCTTCAGGTTTTCATTTTGTGAGCTGCAGATGGATACACGGTTCATATCCTGTGCCCCAACAACGGGCAGCAGCTCACAGCCCTTCTTCCCTGCTACACTGTGCAATGATACAGTGTAAGTATAAAAGACCAGAGGTCTCAGGCCCCATAAACCCCAAAATTGGGCCTCTTCAAGGCCCTCTCAACCTTTTAAATTCTGGCCCAATGCACGCTCTGGGTGCGGTGCATGCTCTGAGCTGCTCTTTCAGCATGTTGTTACAGCATGCTCCCTCTGTCTCTGTCTTATCATCTCCATCATTAATCCCTCTGACTTACTCCTCCTTCTCATTCACCCTTTCCTTCTCTCTGGCTGCTTTCTTCTGCTTGACTGATTCATTACTCGCAGCAGAGAGGCCACCCAAGATACTGATCCCAGTTCAAATAGCTCTTCCTGAAATTGCCTGAGCATAGTATTTTCTTTGTCCCCCGAAGTACGTGCCCAGAATGTGCCCCCAGGCCCCCATCTGCTCCCTTTTGCCTGAGGCAGTGCCTACTGCAGCAGGAAAAGCAGAGGCGGCTGCGCTGGAGTATGAAGATGCCATGCGATGATTCAGACAGTGCAGCAACTCCCAGTTACTCCATCCCCAGCATTATCCTGGGGTCCCTTTTCTCCTTTCCAGTTCTCAGAAACTTCTCTTGTCTCTGAAGTTGGACGTCTTGCCTCAGGCCCGACGCGCTTGCCTGCATTTTGAGTTGGGCGTCGTCCCGACGCGCTTGCCTGCATTTTGAGTTGGACAGACTAAAACAAGGATTAGGAGTAAAAATTCTGGCACCTCCGAAGTCCAACTGTCCAGCCTTGGCAGCCACAATTCCTGCAGAGCCAGCTCTGCCTGCTGGTTTTCCATCCTCTGTTGCTCTTTCTTCTCTTCTCCTTTTCATTCCCTTTCATTTCTCCTCCTATCCTTTCCTCCACAACATCAATACTAAATCTTGAAGCTTCCTTCTCTCCCTTCCCTCACCTCAGTCACGGCTCTGTTCTTCCCCCAGTGCTAAGGAGAGCATGTCACGTAACACTGGGCCTCCCGGAGCTGCTTGAAATCCCCTGATTTTTTAGGTCTTAGAAGCAAGAAAGAGCTTTGTATGAATTAAGTACTTCCTCATTGTGCCACGCCTGGCGCTGGCTATAAACTAAATCACTTCTCCCACACACGTCATTAGCAATAATGAAATCTGGGCTGGCCTGCCTCCTTAGCATGACATCCATATGCAAATGCATTTCCTCAGCTCAAACGATCTGCAGAGCCGATGCATGGCTGCTTGGGATGCCTCCAGCAACGTCTCTCAGGTCACAACTGGAATATATTTCGGGACTACTATTTACCAGGAAGACTTTTATGATACCTTTAAATCCATCATTCTGCACCCTAATTCCATCATGAACTTTAATAGGGACCTGCAGCATTTCGGGATAATGAAAAGGGCAAAGCAAAAGATCCCTTTCATGTCTACTTTGATTGTGAAAGAAAGTAGTCACAGGCTAATGGAAGGTTGAAATAAAGACAAGGCTACTAAGCCATCCTAATCCCTTGCCAGTCCTAAATTAGAAAAATCCCACTTCACGTAACGGCTAAGTAAAAGCTGTATTTACTTCTATAGGTTTTGCAGAACTGAATTAAAAAAACCCACTGTCCAGGTGTTCCAATAGCAAATGTGGATGGTCAGATCATGCATTTCAGGAGAGGCTTTCTAGGGAAATGCTTCCACTGGGAGGAGCTTCCCAGCCCCCTCATCTCCTCCACCTCTGTCAAGCTGCACGCAGGACTCCCCCCTTGGCAGTCCCTTGGGAAACAAGGGCTAGAAACAAGCACCTTGGGTCATTCCTTATTGTCAGTGGTCCTCAAATACACTCGCTCACAACAGGCATTTGTTGCTGCAGAATCGGCGCTGGGGTCCCCTTTTGTGTCACTGAGGACCTTGGGGTCAAGAAAAACAAAGGGTCACACTTCAGTTTCTGCGAAATGCCTCCTTTCTTTGCAGTTGACTCATAGCCTTTGAAAGGCCCTGAATGGAGTCTCTTCACATGAATGGAGCTCCTACCACACAGATTTCAATGCAGCCCC